AGAAAAAAAAAAAAAAAAAAAAAAAAGCAAAAGAGAGTTGATTATCACTCAAACCTGCAATAATGAACTGTGGAATGCAAAATTATCTAATTAACGTCAAAAAGTACTTCAATAAATAGTTTTCAAGAAGAATTGAGCGTCATTCATAAAGCAGCATCTTACCAAAGTCGTATGGTTAAAACAACAAAATTTAACTTCAACAGCTACCAGTTTCATGGACGAGAACTTCTCTCACATTCAGCTAAACAGAAAAGGCAGTCTTCTTGAAATCAATTCCAACTTGATGGCCAATATCCATGAATTCCATAACCTGTCTTCCAGTTATCCAAATACACGACTTTCTTCACTGCCCAAAATGACACAAAGAGCGCAACCAACATGACGACCCGCTGCGTATTCACATTCCTGACCTTGACAAGCACATGAGTAATGAAAGCCAAAAGCAAGCCAACAATCGTATATAAGAAACCCACAGCAAACCCCTCCGCACCAAGCTGCATTCCTGAGCCTTGATAGAAGAATATCAGCTTGGAGGGATCGTTCCGGTCGGTCATAAACATAGGCATTTTCCGAATAATGTTATGCATTGTACCCGCAACACTGAAAAAGTAGATAAAGATCGCCCCAATCAGCCAGACCTTCCGGTCGTTGAGCAACGTCTCACCCGCAATGATCTTCTTCAAAGCAAATGGCGCCGAAATTAACATCGCAATGACAAGAAAGGTAATTTGATTCTTGGAAAACATTGGGGGTCGATGGATCGGACCAACGACAAGCGAGGTCTTCGACTCTACAAATTCCGCCATCGATTCAGCCAATCTGGAATAGTCGCTCTGGTCCATTTGGTCGGACTTATTGGGCGTTTGATTGGGGCCAATCAGCCGGACATGGGGGAGGGCATTAACGCCGAAAAGGGAGAAACTAGGCTGGGATTCTTTGAACTCAATTTCACAGAAGAATAATTTGGAGCGAGAAGAAGAAGAGGGATCGGGGTTGTTGGTGATGAAGGAGGACGAGACAAGCCCAAATTCACGGCGGAGTTCTTTGAGATGGAGCTCTGATTTGTCGTGAAGCTGTAGGGCATCGAAGAAAATGAGGAGTGAATAAGGTCTAGGGCTTTTCGGTGAGGAAAGGAAACGGGAGACTGACTGGTCGTCGAGATGGATCACACCAGAATCCGATCGGGATTGGAGGGCGATAAGCTCTGCAACTAGATCGGGGCCAGAGGATGATACAGAATTTTGAGCGACGAGGGTGAGAAGGAGAGCTAAGAGGAGAGAGTGCGGGAAACTGGAAAAAGTCGCCATTTTTTTGGTAGAAGCGCGACAGGGTTTGTGCAGAGGGGATATATATATATTGGGTAGACGAAGCCGGAGTATGTTAGGGAACCACTCTTGACTTTCTGAGATCTTTTTTATTTTTATTTTTATAATTTAACCTAAAAATATCAACAAAATAAAATTTAAAAATTAAAAATTAACCAATCTAGTGGTATAAATTTTGGACCCTCCTCTTTCCTTTAACAATTTGGACGAAAAGTTGTCGAAATCTCTTCCTCCATAGGGTCTCCAATTAGGGCTCCGATTACTTTCATTGGTATATTGGATTTCAGCATCGCCTGACCAAGTAGTTTAGAGCGACAACCATGGTCTGCGAGAAGTGTAAGCCTCTTTCTCTCATCTTGCATCACTACCTTCTGTCAATTTATTACGAATCCTGACTATGAGAAATTTCGCTATTAGTTTGCGGGTTACTGAGTTGTTCGGAGTTGTGGATGTAGGTGAAAAGAAGCTATCGAAGGTGATAGTACCGGATAAGTGGAAAGAAGGTGCAAGCAACACACAAGAAAGCGGTGGCCGTAAAATTAACGAAAACAAGCTCCTCTCCAAGAAGAAAAGGTTTGTTCTTCTCAATTATTTCTTCCGTATTTGAGCTTATCAATTAAATTGACATTTTAATTTCAATTTAGGGCTTTTTTACCCTTCACTGGTTCGTGTTCGTCCTTTATTGTTCTATTTTTTCTCATATGCGGGAAAGAAGTGGAGTATCTCTCCGTTTTAGTCTAAACATTAACCCAAAGTTATGAATTAGGGTTTATTTTATAAAGTTCGTGTACACGATCGTATATGCTCTGGCTTCAATCTAGAGACCAAGTTGATCTTTTATCTAGGAGTTCATTCTTGTGATTGTATGAATTCTGGAGATAAAGAGTAGTGATGTCTACTTAACGTTTTAATTGAATGAGATCTTGTAATTAGGAGATTAACCTAGATATATGATATTATCATCCTTAGCATATGAACGACTAATCGATCCTTGATGTCAAGCCAATCAGTAGATGTTATGTAATGTGTACGCATTATACATCCCTGTTACTAATTGAATGAGATCTTGTACCAAGGAGAATAAATTGGGTATATGATGCTGTTCTTTGCATTACATATGATTAATAGATCTCTGATGTCGAACTGATCAACCCAGCTCTCCTCTGGCTCCTTTCCGAGTTCTGAAGTAAAAGCCATCTTCATTGAATTATTCCGTGTTATATGATGTTCTGTTTGTCAATAACATAGTCCTCAATTAAGTACATCATATGTAAAGGCTTGCAAGTCTAGTTTCTATTCTGAATGTTGTTACCTGTAGGTGGACTCCTTATGGAAACACCAAGTGCATAATTTGTAAGCAGCAAGTACACCAGGACGGCAAGTATTGTCACACATGTGCTTACAGCAAAGGTATGAATTGCAACTGAAAATTTATTTTTGTTTTGATATCTGCACATGTGGTTACAATGCATTTATGTGTGACATATTCGAGTTGTGCTTGGCAGGGGTTTGTGCTATGTGTGGGAAGCAAGTACTTGATACCAAGCTTTACAAACAGAGCAACGTGTAATTAGAAGCCAGAACTGATATTCGACTTGTAACTTCATCATCAAGGGTTAATAACATGTACTTTGATCCTGATGTACTTTTCGTCCTGGCATCAATCTATATGGTAAATGACTGGATAGTTCATTCTATTTCCTGATCTGACTCCAAGTGTAATTCAACTCAATATTAACATTTGTTTGTTTTATGAGAATTATGTATTATAAAGCTCTACTTCCTTTCCTGATTGTTTTTGAGGTATTTTCCAAATAGTGCCTACATATCGATCTTGAGTTGACAGATTCTGTCATGATGGATTAGGATTTATTTGACAATCAGCTATTGTTAATAGCTTTTCTGCTCTGGTACATATAATGGATATACCAGAACTGCTTGACGACTTCAGGTGGCTTTGTCTTGGATACACCTTTTAATTCTACGCATTTTCCTTTTAGATGGAGCTATAGCCATATTCTTTTGTACTTACACTTTGGGTATGATCCTTCGTAAGTGATAGGCTATTATGGTTCAGAATTTTTGGTGATACTCGTCTTGAAATGCTTGCCTTTATTGTGACACATGCAAGTGTCACAAGGGCCGAGGGTCGCCCCTTGTTTGTCTTGCGTGTAGGGGGTCACAACCTACTTTCTCTCAATGAAGTTGTGGCACTCTCCTCCACTTAATCTACTCGTTGTCATCGATGATTTTTTCGAGGGCACACAATCGTATCGTTGATTGTAACATTCTCCCCCACTTAATCTCTGCATTGTCCTGATAACGTCCCGAATATCAAACTGATTGTTCGCTTGACCCGCTGACTTGTTCGTGTTTTTAGAATGAATATCAGACCTTTCCTTGGTCTCGAAGACCTAGAGCATAAGCACAACAAAACACAACTTGCCCAATGATTGTGTGTTATCCTTCCATGGGCCTAACTTCACCCACTTTTCGAACTCGACCCATGACTCACCAGGCAAACTATGGAAAAAAAACTAGCAACAACACTCCTCGCCTGAGATAGGGGAGCGCGCCCTAAACGTAGCTATCATGATCTATAAACCGTCGTCATATTCTCTGTGTCGATTTCACGACGCTCTCGGTATGGTTGCATGTCATTAAATTATTTTGTAAAACGAGGCTATTGCTTTCCACACTATTAAATTATTTACCCAGCATTTTTATTTTAGAATGTTTTTGAGCTTTCAAACTCCGGAAATATTAGAAAAGAAACATTGGTCGATAATTAAATGAACAATAAAATGGTCATTGAACCATCATTGTTATGAAATAAGTCCGAGACGCATGAAGACGAAGAAATGCTTCTAAATCAGCAAAATTGGGAAAATTGATGTATGCTAAACTATGAACATACGTGGGTTTAGTGATATTTGAAATTACAAAAGTTCCCTGAAAATTGGAGTGTCTCAGACAAACTTCCATCTTTCTCACTCGGTTGAACCAGAAATCTCGTAATTGGAATTGCACCAAATGAAACCTCATGATTCCTGATTTTCTCTTCTTCTGCGCCTGTTTGAGAACAAAAACCTGCAGAATCGAACTCTTCGTCAACAGTGTGCTTAGCTTTATTTATTAAAATTCAGCAACCTCTAGCTTGCTGATGTTATGACAAAGGCGTTGCCTTCCCCACAGTGGTTTCAGAGTCCTCAAGCCTGTCTCACGGTCTTACCGAAGGATCATTCACTTGCAGGGGATCATAACTCGGTGAATATACCACAAATGCAATGCACAATTCGGAAGTTCATTTCATTGGAAACAAGTACAATCCATATAAACACAAACACAACATTTTCGGAAATCGATTTTATTTGACAGCAATAATAAGGCCTACTGGCCGCTGTTTAACATACTAGAAAGCATTCAAGAAGAGAAGCACAATGCCCAAACCAACAACAACACCGTCTAAAAACCACCACGGAGACGCAGGACGAGGTGAAGAGTGGACTCCTTCTGAATGTTGTAATCAGCGAGGGTCCTTCCATCCTCCAGCTGCTTCCCTGCGAAGATCAGCCTCTGCTGATCCGGAGGGATGCCCTCCTTGTCCTGAATTTTCGCTTTCACATTATCAATCGTGTCAGAGCTCTCCACCTCCAAGGTGATGGTCTTCCCAGTCAAGGTCTTCACGAAGATCTGCATCCCACCCCTGAGACGGAGCACCAAGTGTAAGGTTGACTCCTTCTGGATGTTGTAGTCAGCCAGAGTCCTCCCATCTTCCAGCTGTTTACCGGCGAAGATCAGCCTCTGCTGGTCTGGTGGGATTCCCTCCTTGTCTTGGATCTTAGCCTTAACGTTGTCAATGGTGTCCGAACTCTCCACCTCTAGGGTGATGGTCTTGCCAGTCAACGTCTTGACGAAAATCTGCATACCACCACGAAGACGCAACACAAGGTGGAGGGTCGACTCCTTCTGGATATTATAATCGGCAAGGGTACGACCATCCTCTAGTTGCTTCCCGGCGAATATAAGCCTTTGTTGGTCCGGGGGGATCCCTTCCTTGTCCTGGATCTTGGCCTTGACATTGTCGATGGTATCAGAGGATTCGACCTCGAGTGTGATGGTTTTACCAGTCAGGGTCTTGACGAAGATTTGCATACCACCACGAAGACGGAGTACCAGGTGGAGAGTCGACTCCTTCTGGATGTTGTAGTCGGCCAAGGTACGGCCATCCTCAAGTTGCTTTCCGGCGAAGATAAGACGCTGCTGGTCCGGGGGAATGCCTTCCTTATCCTGGATCTTCGCCTTGACGTTGTCGATGGTATCAGACGACTCGACCTCAAGCGTAATGGTCTTGCCGGTCAGTGTCTTGACGAAAATTTGCATGCCACCACGAAGACGGAGGACCAGGTGGAGGGTCGACTCCTTCTGAATGTTGTAGTCGGCCAAGGTACGGCCATCTTCGAGTTGCTTGCCGGCGAAGATCAGACGTTGCTGATCCGGAGGAATTCCTTCCTTATCCTGGATCTTCGCCTTAACGTTGTCGATCGTATCAGAAGACTCGACCTCAAGGGTGATGGTCTTGCCGGTTAGGGTTTTAACGAAGATTTGCATCTGCCAGGATGAAAACAAGAAATTAAGAACTCCTTCCCCTAAAATCACAAGAACCATACAGTAGCTAAAGCCTAGAGAAAAATATAACTGAATCGGAACCCTAAAATGTCTCAATCCAACTATAATCGTATAATGAATCGTTCAGACTCCCGATATTGCGTAAAGACTAAGATCGGCAGATTAATAAAAAAAAAAAAAAAAAAAAAAAAAAAAAAAAANAAAAACGCATGGGAATCAGAAGTAGACAAAAAATAGGAGAAGAATAAAGAAACAAGTAAAAAAGAGAAAAAAAGAAAACACAGACAGACCTTGAGAGGGTTAAAAGACGATCGATTCAAAGAACAGTTTGACGAACGCAGAATGATAGAAAGGGTTCCGGAGGACGACATTTATAGTTGACAACAAGAACAGTTTCGTCAGTGCGGTAAAATAGTACCATTCAATGGATGACACGTGTAATGCAAGCTACAGAAATTAACGGGAGATAGAGGGAGGCGATAAGAACGGGGACCAGAGGGCAAATACCACGTCATTACTTTTTTTTTTTTTTTTTTTTTAATTTTTTAGTTTATTCAAAAGCGGGGTTGTTGAAATATTATATTTATTTCCAAAATAATTAGCCTCTTAGAAAACAAATTAATTAGCTATGATTTAATTAAATCTATCCATCATTTTATATATATATATATTAAATCTATTTAGTGGGGGACTTAACTTATGCGACCACATATTTGAATACAATGAAAATGGACCCGTCCGGTGCGTGAATATCCATAGTTGAATTATTAATTTATTTTCCATAATGTGACAAGTAATCCGTAAGCAATGGCTTTATTAAATTAATAATCATAGTTAGGGATATTTAAAACAATAATTCAATTTTGGGATGATAGTTGATTGGTTTGGTTGCCCAACCTCTCCAGTTTACTTAGGGTTTTATTATTCATTATTTAATTCAAGGACTTTTTTTCTCTCTTTTTTAAATAAAAATAGTAAAATGCACCCGAAGCTACAAAAACTAAATACCCATGATTGGAAAAGGAAACAAAATATTTATTTTCTCTAAGGGTGCATGCTGAGATCCTGTCTTAAATCTGTTGGAGAGGAGAACAGGAGAATGAAAAAGGCTTTTAAGAGAGTGGATATAAGATCCACCCCTCAGAATAGGAGAATGAAACATCAGAATAGGAGAATGAAACGAGGCCTTCCAGAAGGTGGATTATGAGATCCTCGCCTCAAATAGGAGAATGAAATGAGGCCTTCAAGAAGGTGGATTATGAGATCCTCACCTCAAATAGGAGAATGAAACGAGGCCTTCAAGAAGGTGGATTATGAGATTCAAGTCTCAACATTGGAGAAAGAAACATCTCAACATTGGAGAATGAAAAAGGGCGTTCAACAAGGTGGATATCCACATCTCGGCATTTCTTATAATGAAAGGGAAATCTCTCCCTAATAGACTTATCATTTTAAAAATCTATCCCGAAGAGAACATATGAAAAATGATGAAAAATCCAAGCAAACCAAGTTAATTAGCTAGGGTTTCTAAGGAGTTCCTTCCAAACTCCTGCTATGTATGTGTGTGTACCTGCTTCTCCCTGCATAAAAATATAAACTCACAACAAATACCCATTCTTATTTTGAAGATTACAGGTTGCTATTCTTCCCTCCCAGCTAGGGTTTCTGCTGCAACTAAACACAGAAGCAGAAGTGTCCAAACAATTGCCAACAGCATTCTCTGCCTGCCCTCTTCTGCCATTAAACCCCATATATCACTTTTTGATGACACTTCAAAAGGGGAATTTCTTTTATAGTTCAATGCATTTGGAAAGTTCATTCCTTTGTGGGTTATAGGAAAACCCATCTGTCTTCCAAATTAACGTGATATTAAATCAGAAACATCAAACTACAAGTATGTGTGTATTATTTACGAATCTCAATTTTCTCAGGAAAAAAAAAAGGAAAATCAAAACCCTAAAAAACAGTCTCAAAAAACTAGACTAACTCCAGAAAAGATAGGGAGCAAAAAAGAAAAAGGGTGGTGATACCTAGTAATTTGAGGGTCATTAAGATCCGCCAGAAACGCTGCCATTAAAGATCTCAATCGTATCGCCGTGGGCTACACCATGCCAACGGAAGGAGCGGTCTTCGTCCATAACGTCGCGGTCATAAATGAAAAAGAAACCCTCTGGTGGCAGATGAAAATGCAGTCTCTGCTGTAGCTTTTGCAGCTCTTTCTTCAATTCCCCAACGTTATCTGTTGGGTTCACTTCCATTGGTATCTTTGAGTTCCCAAATTTCGGTTGCACCATTACTTTCAACTTGTTCTTCGACGACCCACTCGTTGCCACCGTTGCAGCCGCTGCCGTTGTCGTTGTCGTCGACGGCTGCGGCGGTGGCGTTGTCATCCCAAGCGCAGCGGTTGAAACTGTAGGCGACGGCCGCAAACAAACCTCAACCTCGGAATTCTCCGACATCTCGCTGTCACGCAAGGAACGTTGATCCTGTAACTCGGTAGGAGAGGCATTGGATTGGAGCATGATCCCGTTGATGGGTCCCACAGAGTTGATGTCGTGGATCCTCTGTTTGAGGCGCCCGATTGAATGGTTCGGGTCGATTTGGGGTTGGGGCTGGGATTGGGATTGAGAATTGTTTTGGGATTCGGAAGCCACGAGGAGTTGAATGCGAGAATGCTGGAGGATTTCGCAGAATTCGACGTCGCGGTCGTCTTGGAGGACGTGGCCATTGAAGATTAGGGTTTGTTTGGGGATGGGGATATGGTGATATTTTTGAATCTTCTCTTTGATTTCCAAAACAGTATCGAAGAAACCAACTTCAATGGCGAACGCCTCTCCTTTCTCAGGTACGAACAACACATCCATTATTGGGCGGCCGGATCAAAACCGCCGATTACAAAAAAAAAAGAAAAAAAAGAGTTGTTTATGTTAGATAATTTGGTTGGGTTTTGATGGTGTTGCTGTAAGTAAATTGGGGTTTCTGGTGTTTTGGGGGAACAGAGTGAGAGGGGGAAGGGTGTGATCATCAGTGGACTCTCATGGTCATGGTAATGCTAATGCTAATATGGCAATGCAGATCGCAATATTGGCGGTTTTATAACTGTAAAGCCGTGATTCTTGTTGGGACTGACACTTTGTTATGCCACTTCCTTCTCTTTTTAGAAACCCCTAATATTTCTTCATAAATATAATTATTTTCACGCAATTTTTTTTTTTATTAAATGAATAATTATTTTATTAATCATTTTTATTTTTATAACCATTTAATTTGATTCGAGATCAAATTATTATCTTAAAAGATTATTTATTAGATCTTCCACGTAAAGGATTTTTTATCTTTAAAAAATTTTACTAAATAAAAACACAAACTCCAATAAGTTACTTAAAATTAAAAAAAAATATATATATATATAAAATTTATTTCTCAATTCACATTCATGTAGATACGACATAACCCAAAAGAAGATAAAGAAGATAGATAGTGTTTCTGTCAGTGTTGATATATATATATATAGTTGGTTCACGGAGAAAAATTAATTGTTTAAGGTTCATAAATAAGATCTTCGCTCTACTCATCTCCTAATTTGTGCCAATAAGGCTAAATCTCAATAATATAATTTGATCAATAATGTCATATTTCCATGGATGATTCGATTTATGTGCTTTTATATGGTAAGTTTCCAATAGTCTGCTTGTATCAGACTATGATGGTTCCATCCCATGTAGTCGTGGTGATTCAAAGTTCTAATTTTTTGAACAACGATAAAATAACACTGAAAAAGAAGCAAAATATTCTTTAATATGGAGAAAATTCCATAAAAAAATTTGTTCACTAGGATACATGGAGTTGATACAAGAATATCATCAAGCCGACTGTATAATTAACAACTCTTCCTGCTTCCAACTTTCCCACCCTTTCCCCTAAGCATGAGTGTGATGTAAATTAGTTCGTGCAACAAACTTCCAGAGGGATAATAAGATGAAAAAGAACAGTCGGAAAGAGGATACCAAGAGTCCTAGGAAGCATAAAGTGGAACTTGACGTGGCCAAACCGCACCTTGGACATCCTTTTGGGTATACCTACGATCCCAAGACCAGGGAACATCTGATAGGATTGAAACAAGTCAGAATATGTAATAAATAAGGTATGTTGCAACCATGAAGGAATGAGTATTGTCTGACCTTGAGGGCCATATGGCTGAGGAGGGAGTTCATAAGGTAAAGGCAATTGAATTACTTCAGACAACGATTCTCTTTTCTTGTTTTCTTGCCAAGCCAATGTCACCAGTTCTGTTTTTTCTTCTAGGTTTTCCGATGGTCTTGACTTGTTCTAAAGGTAAATTGAGTAAGAAAAAAAAAAACACTGTTTCATTTCTTCCCTTGTGAAGATTTTGTATGCATTCCAAGTACTTATTCAAGAACCAGGTTTTGGAATTACCTGTGCTGAACCTCCACTCTTGGTACAAGAAAAACTGTAATCAGGCCTTTTTTGAGGTAGAAAGAGCACCCCAAGCTGTAATGTTTTTTTTTAAGACAAATATTTTAACCTCCGGAAATGATGGCCATAAGATGAGTGAATCCATTGGGTTATCTATCACGGAGGATTTAATGAATTCTTAACCAACGAACACTCACCCATCATGGAGTCAACTCCACATGCCCATCTTAGTAAAAGAAACGATGATAGGCAAATCTAGAAATGTGCAATCAGACCCATCTTTCACATTTCAGACATACCTCGTAAGAACGAATCATTAGCTGAGAATTGTTCTTCTGAAGTGCTCCCCAGGCAGCTTTGCTGAGGTTAGATGATGTTAGCACTAACCAACTGTTAACAATAAACTCGTTTAAGTCTCAGGTCTTCATATTTACACCAAAATTCCACTAAAAATTAACAATTAATAGAGGAGAATTAATTAGTCTGGTATGAAGTCTTACGCTAGTTTCTGACCATTATAACGAGCAAATGTCTTTATGTGCGGCATTGCATGACTGCAGCACAGAAAAGTATGAATGCTCTGATCAAAATCCTCATAGCATAGAGAAGAAACTCTTCTGAGACGGGAAGCCAGCCTCGAGATGATTTAGTTTTTTTGAGTTGGTGTTCGATAATATCATGAGAAAATGCTTTGTAAAAGAAGCTGAAGTATCAGGAATATTTTTGCTGAAACAATATTTAAAAATTTGCGAGTCTAAGACTAATAATAGATATAAAGAAAGATATGCTAACCATCGGCCACTATGGTATGATTTCCATTTCGCCCAATATTTTCTCAAAAATCCCTTATCCACATTCTTTAATGGACTGGGAATGGCGTTTCCAGCAGCATAACCCTATCAAAGGGAAATGAAGTAGTTTGAGCAAAGAGTGAGCTGAACACTGTGCTATAAAATGTACATCTTCCCAAAATAAGTCTGGAGATATATGCCACATTAGTAATCCAAGTTAGCTCGACCAAGGAATCAGAGGAAAAATACAAATTTGTTACTTACTGGACAGCTTCAAAAAATAAAAAACAAAACAAAGAAAACAGGAGTCTGTTTGCATCATTACGCTGGAATTCTAGATAAAGCGTCATCAGCCAATTATCAGGGAAAATGCATTCAAAAGCTGCTGGATAAATATAGTTCTAGAAGGGAGAGGCCTCGTGTTAGCTTTCATGATGATCGCGGGATTTGGCATTGATCTCCACTATTTAGCTCTCTCCTCCACAAGAAAATGTTTACAACTGCTTTTGTTCCATCTTCATTTAGGGGCTTTCTTTCTAATACTTTTCATTGAGGGAGGACATTGTCTGATAAGAAAGCTACAAAAATGTCTTCATTATATTGTCAGTATGGCTTGATTAGCTGTGTTTCTTTATGGAGGCACTTCTACGTTCATCTTTCATAATAGGAAGAGTTTTTGGATGATTGGAAAACAAATCCAGTTAAGGATGTTTGAATGGCATGGATGCAAAGAATTGGAGCTATCAATTTCGTATCTTGGAAAATTCTCTGATCAGTCAGTATCTTGAGGTTGAAGATAAATTTTATTTTGCTCAAAAATTGATTTGGTCAAATTGGTGATATTGAGAAATACCCAAAAACAAAGGAGTTCAATCACTTGGGCGAGTTCTTTTTCAATCAGCAAGTGAGTTAAGGTTTCAAAGGGGTGAATAAACTATTGCCATTTGGATTTATTTTTGTTCGGATGAATTTTCATTTTCGATCAGAGTATATTTGAAACATGGAAAGAAGCAGGTTTTGATGAATTTCCCCGGGGTTGTCCTGTTTTTTGTGCAGTCCATACTACTGGTTTTCTTACAGGGGTTACTTAACCCCCAAGCCTTCTTGGTAATGGTAAATGTTTGGAATTTTGCAACAATCCTAGGTTCTGAGTTTGAGTTTCAGAGGGTCTGTCAGAGCTAGCATTTGGGCGTGCAAGGATTTAGTGGGGTGAGGGGTGAGGTACTATTATCACAGTTAACAAAAACAAATTGGAGGGGGAAGAAAGAAGAAAACATCATAGAGAGGTTTCAAATGATAACCTATTCAGTAGTACCTCCAGAGAGCATCTGACATCTTCCACAGTAGGCCATACTATTAGTGGTTCCCCAAGGCCAAGAGGTGTTTTATCAGCTGAAGAACCTGATGATAGTGATGCTGCAAACTCGGCCATCCATTTTTCATCCAACGATCCGAGGGAGGAGAACTAGAATATGGCACAAAAGATGGGCACATGAGCATAAGAATTTTTATTTATTATCTTTGAAATAAATTCCAAGACCTGTAAGATTAATGGAAATCGCACCGCATAGCAGGAGAAATATGGTTTTGCACACAATAGAATGTACCACTACGAGTGTTTGGTCCATTAAAAAACTCATTTCTATTAACTAGTGAGGTTAGTAATTTACCTGGTAAACAAGAGGAGATCGCTTAAACTCTTTATCAAAAACACATTCCTGGAGAACAGAACGTAGCTTCATATGGCCCCACTTCTTTAAATGGCGACCCGTATGATATCCAGGTACAGAAGCGATCAATCTAACCTGAAATCAAGTGTGCTCCATACTATAATAGATTAGTCAACAAGATCAAAATAAATACCAAAAAATGATCCTGGAAATGGAAAAATACAAACTTGGGTAATTGATCAAGTACCGCTGCATTACTATAATCAAACTTTCTGAAAAACGATGGATTGACATTGAAGTTTCCAAGTGCTGGAAAATTAGCAGGAAATTCTGGCCACTGCAAATAGTTAGGAGGAAAAAGAATAACCATTCCCATTTTCAATACGGACGATATGCTGAAGAAGAAGAACCATCCTACAGCAACTTAGTCTTATCTCAACGGCAGTAAGCACATATCTAAATATTTTCACGTTTTTTCTTAGTAACTATGTTTGTACCTTCAAAGCACTAAGATAGTCAACCAAGTCATCTTCAAATGCACATCCTCTTGTAGAGGAATTTTGATCTTTCCAAGGGAAATCTTGCATCCACAAACCTTGGCTTTTGTTGTTCCAATCAACATAGATTAGATTTGCGGTGTGTACAACCATTCTTATTCCTCGAGGATAGACAAGAAATATTGCTTTTGAATGGTGAGTCCCAAACGATATGGGTAGTGGTGGTTTGTGCAAAATCCAATTTGCAGGCTTCTTCCTCTATGATCCATATAACCCAACGGTTAAATTCTGCCCACTTAAATGTAAATTTAGTTTAAATTAAAACAGTCTACCTTCATATGATCCAGTGTTCCATCACCCTCGCCATGAATAACCAGCACGTGAGGGACTTTTGCAAGAGTGGGACATGCTGCACCAAATACAGTACAAAAAAACATATGGTCAGGAAAAAACTAAATGAATCACAACAAATTAGTTGGTGAAGTCACGTAACAACTGACCGGCTTAAAATTAAAATGCTTGTAAAACCAGAAGCAATAATGACAAAACTAGATTCAGAAACTGCTTATCTGATGAATGGCCGAATGCAATAAAAACATGAATATCATGTAGGACTAGATAATAACCTGTCTGTGTACACATTACTCAAATTACACCGACCAACTTCGATGAACCAGGAGGAAGTTCATAAATATGAAACAATTAAAACATGCAAAAAAAAAAAAAAAAAAAAAAAAAAAAAAAAAAAAAAAAAAAAAAAAAAAAAAAAAAAAAAAAAAAAAAAAAAA